TAGAGGTCATGTACTCACTGGAGGTCATGTACTCACTGGAGGTCATGTACTCACTGGAGGTCATGTACTCACTGGAGGTCTCGTACTTACTGGAGGTCATGTACTCACTGGAAGTCATGTACTCACTGGAGGTCATGTACTCACTGGAGGTCTCGTACTTACTGGAGGTCATGTACTCACTGGAAGTCATGTACTCACTGGAGGTCATGTACTCACTGGAGGTCTTGTACTTACTGGAGGTCATGTACTCACTGGAAGTCATGTACTCACTGGAGGTCATGTACTCACTGGAGGTCTTGTACAGTACTTACTGGAGGCCATGCACATATCTTACAATGTTTTTCTACGTATTATTTAATTAAAATCTTGCATAAAAAACATAAATAATACGACTTTCCTTAACCTGGTGTAATTGAACGTAACAGAGCTTAACCAAACGTTAAGTAAGTGAAGAGCAGTTTTTCTGTGTGTTAGGTGTCCACTTATAAAAGAATAATCCGAGTGTTCAAGCGATGTATCAGTTACTTCTGGAAATACCGCCATCCAATTAGGGGAAATTATCACTTGTGCGCGGAGCAGAAAAACCCGTCCAGCCCGCGGAACTACGCTTGTGATAGGGCCCGTTTACATACTGTGACATGCAGAGACAAGGCGTGGCTCGTGCAGTATTTAGTGACGTTCAGCAACAAGTTCTGGCATGGTGTGACATGTAGTGATGTGTTAGAGCAGATTTTGACATGTGTAACGACGTGTTATGGAGTTTTATGGCCTGCGGACTCTTCATGGGGTATTGTAGAGTGGGAGAAGTTGTGAAGTATTGTGACATTTGGGAGGCTAAGATGCGTGTTACAACATCTTATACAAACAAAGAACCAATTTTGACAGAGGTGGTGAGTTGTGGTGTGTAGGAGACGTGGGCCTTAACCGAGCCCCACCACACCTGTGCGTACATTTCATTAATTCACCTGGACACACCCACTTATTGAGCGCCGCCACTGCCTGCGACACGGCATTCGGATTTTCAGATATTCCTGCAATTTTTTGCCCGTAACTGAGATAAGAGACAGCACTTAGTTACGGTAAAGTCTCAATGTAATTTTCATGCCATTTTAATGGCTCATATTTCTTTCACAGCAAAAATTTAGCAAATTTTATCGAGTTGAACGAACCAAATACCTTTGACAAACCGGAATCAAGCTTCAACTACCTCCAGCAACACGTACCACACGGCCTCTTGGAGTTAGATTATGTGGGGGACTAAAATTTGTCTTAACATAGGAGCCAATATATTGTACTCTACTCACCTCCTGCAAGCGTTGTTGGTCTGAACTGTAATGATTCTTTCAACATGATACAGAAATTCCTGACAGTCAGTGTTTCATAAAAAGGAGAAAGATGAATGGATATACGAAGAATAAATAGAAATATAGGGAAAAGTCAACATGGTGGAGGGAGGGGAGTGGGGGCAGGCGACACGGGGATAACCAGCAATATGCGGAGTGTGGCCGTGTTGGTTGTGTTGACACGAGACACACATCAAGGGTCCCCAGCCTCTGTTGCTGCTGCCCACAGACCAGTATGAAGATGGTCTCTCTCTCTCTCTCTCTCTCTCTCTCTCTCTCTCTCTCTCTCTCTCTCTCTCTCTCTCTCTCTCTCTCTCTCTCTCTCTCTCTCTCTCTCCCTATAGACTCTACGCTCCCATAAACACACTTCTCTTTCCCTTCCACATTCTTACACACACTTTTCTTCCCTTCCCACTTAGCCATTCTCTCTCCCACAATCCAACCCCTCTCACAGATTCCCCTTTCCTCATCCCCCACGCATTACCTCTACCACCACTTCCCTCTTTTCCCCTCCCACGCAGACCTTCCTCTCTCCATCACGTCTACCCCTCCCGCTCCCCCCTCCCTCACATTTCCATTTTCTTCCACTATCTTCCTTCCCTTCTCAACCAACCCCCCTTCTCTCCCACACTCCCCTGCCCCCTTCCACTTTCTCCCTGCTCCTTATGCTCCCCAGCCCCTCCATCCCATCCCTTCCCCTCCCACACACCCCACTGTCCCTTTCACGCACTCTCCCGCCCCTCACACACCTACACACACGCCATACCACACACGTCACCTCCCCCCCACACTATTCTCACCCTCTCATCTTCCTCTTTCCTTCCCTTCCCACACTCCTCCCACCCCTCCCTCTCACATCCTCTCCTCCCTCTCCCACATTACTCTCACTCCTCCCTCTCACTCCCTTCCGCTCCCTGTATTTTATATACTTTATCATTAATAGCGTCAAAAGTCTGAATACAATCACATACACCACACCACAACGTAACGCAACACAACACAACACAACTCAACACACACGAGAGAGAGAGAGAGAGAGAGAGAGAGAGAGAGAGAGAGAGAGAGAGAGAAAATAATGTATTGTGTTAGTGGGGAGAAGCCCAGGGGATAAGGGCAGTGTAGATAAGGAGCTTACCATCCTAGACCAGCAACCAGCAACTCACAATGCCAGGGGAACATACCTCCACACGCTCGTCCCTTGTGTTTGTTTACCCTGTCAGCTGATGCTGTTTCTGGCCCTCGCAACGGCACCACCCTTCTCTCTTCCCTCCTCCTCCTCCTTAGCCGCCACCACTTCCTCCTCCTCCTCCACCTTCTCAGTTGCCACCTGCTTCTCATCCTCCTCCTTAACCCGTCCGTCCATCTGCTCTGTGTGTAGGGGAGCAGGGGGGCAGTTTCCTCTCCCACTTTCTCCCTCTTCCTCCCTTTTTATACACATCTTGGTTATATTCTCTAGGGATCTGGGAAACGTCATCATCCTCGCCTTCTGTACACTTCCTGGAACTGTGGGGGCGCACATATGTACGCTTCCGTTTATCACACACACACACACACACACACACACACACACAGTAAGCCTCTCATCATCTTATTGACTTTCTTGGGCACTCTTTAGGTTGGATCGATGTGGTTTATTCCCATTATATATATTATGTCTTATTGTTTTGTCAGTACTGAGCCAGAACATATTACTGAAACCATTTGGTCGATATTCGTGAAATTTTCTTTACTTGTACATTATGTTGAGCCGTTCTTCTCTACGCTTTGTACTTTAAAAGAAGAAGAAGAGAACTTTAGCGAAGATTTGCACCTTTTTTTAAAGGTTGAGGGAAATTTCTGCTTTGTTTGTAATCAATATTGTTAGTTATATTTATGTTAATGTTAACTTACTACCATTAACTTGTATTAAAGAAACTGGTCCCTGAAATCTTTAATTTGCTAAATATTAATCGGAAGGTAAACTGATGCAAAGTTTGACAGGTGTGTCAATAAACTCAGGGATAGGATCACTACTGTTTAGAATTCCTGCCAGAACACACAGGTCCTTTACACTAGCACAGGTAGTCAGCAGTGCCTGGCGATCCTTCACTCCTACAATGACATTATTAACGAAACTGCACCAGGTGGATGTTAGCTCACCTTCCGTCAGCGGTGGAAATCATATGCTACGGATTAAAGCCCCGTCATCATAGTATGGAGGCGTGTGCTCGGAGGTGTTGCTCCCATACTTGATGAGGATCTGTACAAGGACCAATTTTGTTTTTTGTTTTATGGGGGGGTGGTGCGAGAAGAAAGAAGCGTGGCGGATAGAGGGAGATAAAACACAAAGACTTCAGTTCTTTCTGTATGTGTGACTGTAGGTTGATGGTGTCAGCCTCGCCCGCATCCATTTTCATAAAGGGAGAATCTTGAGAGGGAACAATCACTCTGCATCACGTTCATATCATCATCAGGTGGCGGTTTCCTCTCTACCGTCGGGGGAATCCATCACTGAAACCGGATCGCGCTGACTGTGCTCACGAACGCTCAAGTCGAAAGCCAAGTGGTGTTGTCTTGGCTACGTCGGCTTTATCGCCCTTGGGGGTATAGCACCGTGTGGCGGTGTGTGGCCGTGGCAGGAGTAATGGAAGGCAGCACCAGAGCCAATCATTCCTAGTGGCATTGAATCAGATTTAAAATTAGATTTGGGGATCACTGTATGGGGGTGCAGTTTATGGGTATGGGAGGTCGTGAACCCCGCCAGGTGGGTAATGCAGAGGTGTTTCTGGCCGGGTACCGAGATGCCCCTGGCCGGGTAGTGTTAGTCCAGAGTGTGTGCTTACAAAACAACAATTAATATAATAATAATAATATTAATTATTATTATGATTATGATTATTAACAACTCGAATTTATTTTAGTAAAAAAAAAGGGTAGAGTATTAGTAAAATTATTTGCCTCATCATCAGCAACAACAATAAATAACGTGTGCCTGATTACTCTGGCCAGGTTTGTGGGCCAGGTGTGTTGCCGCTCACTCACACCCCTGTGCTAAGTCAACTGTTCATCGTCGTTACTTACAGAGGAATTATTAGTTTGTGATATTTTGTCTGCTTTTATAACACTGGTGTGTGTGTGTGTGTGAAAGGGTGTGTCGGTGGGTGACTGGATATATAGGTTGGTGAATGGATGTGTAGGTGGCTGCTTGGATGTATAAGTGAGTGCGTGGATGTATAAACGGGTGAACAAAGCCGCGCTGAGACGTAGACTTCCTCAAAATCTTGTCCTTGGGCTGGACCATAGCGTGAGGTTATCCCTACATTGGTCGAGCAGTTCACGTTATGAGACCCGAGTGGAGGTGTAGTTATGATTAAAAAAAAAATATTGTTTTAAAAAAATCTTATGCTATTATTTATTTGTTAGATTATTGTTGTATTAATTTGTATTTAAGTATAGAAGAAAAATTATGCTTAAAATCACTGTGTGGTTAAATCGAGGTCTATAAATATCATCTCAGTTAACCATGACGCCCATCACCCGACAAATTGTTAATCTCATACAGGTCAACACAGGTACTTAATCAATAACAGTTTAATCGAAGACATTTTAACGAGTGTGTAAGTGGTCGTAACTATCGCCTGACCAAGAAGATGGTCCATATAACGTGTGGTGATGGAGGCCGTGTAACCTCCTTCATACATCACTCTGGACACTCACTTACGGCCCTCGACCCGCCCACACTGTGTTGCTGTATGACTTTGGTGTAATAATATCTTGGTCTGATGGTTAAAAGCCATATATTATTAATTCTTACTTTTACCATCATGTGCGTGAAGGTTGGTAAGGAAGTGGTCATATGTTTGTATGAAATTGTTGTGTATGTTTTATTAATTTTGTGTGTACTGTAAAGGGTTGTAATATCTATTTAATACAAGCCACACGTAAAACAGATGTTATG